ATCCAGGAGCGATGGCGATTCGAATCGATTCCTAACCAGCTGGTGATTTATTCCTTACACAAACCTCACTCACCCGCTAAAGTGAGATATTGATCACCGAGTCAACTTTCTAGGTATCTCGAGTTTGCTAGGAACCACATGTACCCGGGGGCCGACCGACTGCACTTTGGGTCTTATCATCTCGCCCCGTGTCCTACCACACCTGCTTCCCGCACTGCGGGCGCTGCGGGCAATCTACTCGGCCGAAAAATCTCGGCTTAGCGGTTTAAGGTACGTTATCCGCCACTAAATGTAAGGCATGCGTTCAACATGACTCGAGGCCCAACAACGGTCGGTCCTTAATCAACACGAGACGGAAACACTACAGGTCCAAAACTCGCAAGTCTCCGTCCTGGTCTCAACTTCATTTAACACTTAGTTATACCATGACTTCATAGTCATCCAAGCAGGTCCGGTAACCACCTATAGCTCCAGGTGACGAAATCACCCGACTTCTACCGGTCTAAGCCACTAAGCATTGACTGATCATTGCGGATACTGGGGTAACAAGGATATAGTATAACAAATGTAAACAAGGTATAATACAAAGAACGGTTGCAAACAACTCCCCGAACGTAATGTATCAATTAAAGTAAAGCATTTAATTAAATCATTGCAAACCGGGAGAAAATGCTCGGGGCTTGCCTCTCTCAAGGAGCTCTGGACGGTGATCGGGGCACTCCTAAGTTCCTCAACGTCCTCCTCGTCGACTTCCGGCACTTTTCTGCGACCTCGAACTCGCTCCTCGGGCTCCTCGGGTATGACGACTGGGTTCTCGGTTTGCGATCCTGTATGATGCAATGCGTGTAAGTGCTTATGCAATCGGTGCATCGGATGAGATGAATGCAATGAATATTTTTGAATGCAAGGTAGTCAACATCATCCAAGAAAATATACTACAAGCACATGTCATCTACTGCATTCTCTTCTACTACTAATATGTTAAGTCAACACATCTTATTAAATGCTTCAAAGGTACACCAAAGTTAACATTATTAACTAACTTGCATTAAAGAGGATTATTTTATTTCATTTTAAACTAGGGCTACAACAGCAACCTATATTTCTGGTGCTTATAAAAATCTAAGAAAATTACAGTAGCATAGTACTACTCTAAGTAGACTACCATAAAATTTTCATGGCGTTTGGATAAGTAAAATAGTCTACACAAAAATGACAAGCTATGGCATGATTATGAACATGAAAATACTTTGTACTGTGAAAAGTGTCAAACAACAGAATTAGTATTTTTCCTATGTTCTTCATAGCATACAATGACTGTACAAAATTTATCACATGCATGTTTTATACAAAGTTTGCTCTCTAGCTAAAATAACAAAAATCAGCCATTAAAGGTACTTGAACTACACCTCAAAATTTTCCCACAGCTCATGCATGAAACATATTTTTCCTAGGAAGTACATTACATAAGAAGATTAACAAACTTGGAATCATATTTTTCTGAAGCCTATAGATTTTTCTACACATTTTTCAAGTTATCAGCAATATACATGATTAAATAAAGTTCTACAGAAAAGTATCTCAAAAATGACATGCAATAATTTTCCCAAGTAGATCTGGTGATAAGGAACCTAGCAAAATTTGTTTCAACAAATTTGGAGCCAAAATGAGTACACAAACATTTTCCAAAGTTTTTAACAAAAATCTGAAAAAGCATCTTTTAAATCCTTTTAAAAGTCAGCCGACAAAAATACTGGGTGCACCCGGTGCTGTGCACCCAGATCCGATCCAGGGCGCTGACGAGCGGGCCCCCACGGTCAATGGCCCCCACCTGTCGATCAGACCGAGACAGGGGCGGTGCTGACCGGCCAGCTCTTGCCGACGGCGAGCTAGCTGGCGGTGTGGACACCACCAGTAGCTCACCCACGACGAGGCAAACACGGTGCACCAAGAGAAGGCACAGGAGGAGCTTGGGACAGGGCTCGACGGCGCGCATGGCGGAGCGGCGGCGCTGCTCCCGACGGCCGGCCATCTCCGGCCGGGAAGGGGCGCGAAAGGTGGTGCGGGAGCTTCACCGAGCTCGTGCGGTGGTCGTGCGCGCGAGAAGGTAGCTAGAAGAAGGACGGAGGGCGAGGTCCACGGAGCGGAGCGCTCCGGTGAGCTCGGCCACAACTCCGGCGAGAGATTCCCAGGGAGAGGGAGCTTCTCACGGCTTACCGAGGCGAGCACGAGGTGCGCGATGATGAGTCAGAGATGTGGGCGAGATGGAGGGTTCAATGGCGAGCTAGGACGGCCGGGCGAGCGAGCTCCGGCGAGGCGCGACGCGCGGTGGCTATGGCGGGTGCGCGGTGAGAGGCAGAGAGGCAGCGCGGGAGAGGAGAAGTGAGGAGCGCTGAATGCGGGGGCGCGAGATTCAAGTCATGGCCATGATGCAGGCTGCTGCATGTGCGTGGATGTGGTGCCAGGCCATTGCCGACGGGTGGCGCCACGCAAGGGCAAGCTCACGCCTCGGGGGCGTGTGAATGACGACGCGGCGCAGGGAGAAGGAGCCAACGCTACTGGGCCGGGCCGAGGCGAGGTGAGGCAGCAGGCTGGCTTCAGCTGGCTTGGTGGGGGCTGAGGAGGCGACGCCCTGCTGGCAAAGGAGAAAAAAGCCTTTTTCATTTGTATTTTCAAGGAATTTTTAAATGCCATCTTTCAAATATTATTTTGAGCAAGAAAATGACATCTTTTGAAAATGTACCAAAAATAAAAGTTGCTTAGAATTTAATTTTCTACAACTTTGCTTTTATGACCACAGCCAAATTCTTTCTAGATTTTGAATTGCAAGGTCAAAGTCCACGTTTAACTCAAAACCCTAATTTTTGGGAATTTATTTTTGAAGCCAAATTTTGAATTAATTTGAATACAAACTTTGCTTCAAAAATTGAACTAAACATTGCTAGATGATTTACAATAGTAGCCAAACATGTTTCACTAACCTAGCAAGCAAAATCAGGACAGAACAACTCTTAAACAGGTGTATGCAACATTCAGGTTTCACACATGTTTCAAATGTTTCGAAGCAGTGTTTTAATTGTTATTTACATGATTAGGCATGTATGATTAGGATGCTTGATGATGCATGATATGTATGATTTGCAGTGACTAAATGCAGGCATAACACCGGGGTGTTACAGCGGGCGAGGATGGTTCGGCGCGGCGGCCTCCCTCCACCACGGCCACGACGTCGGGATCCACCACGGCCACGACGTCGGGACCTCCACCGCGGTCCCGAGACGTTGGGGCCCGGCCGGCTGCTCCTCTTCTCCCTCCCCGAGCGGCACGGATCTGCAGCCGTGGGAAGCCCGGATCCGTCGCCGGTGGGCTCGCCAGTGGGCTCGAGAACGGGCTCGCCGGCAGGCTCCTGGTTTTTTTTTGTTTTTTTAAATGATTAACCGCAGCGGGCATCCTAACGTGCCCACCGTGGTAGAAGTATATTTACCGCGGCGGGCACGTTACACCGCCCGCCGCGGTAAATCGGTTAACCGCAGCGGGCAAGGCCGCCCGCCGCGGTTAAGCCACGATTTACCGTGGCCTTTAGGCCGCGGCGGACGGCTTTACCCGCCGCGGAAAACCGAAAACGCTCGCCTCCAGTAAAGTTTGTATAGTAGTGGTAGTAGGCTCATTGTCATAGCATTCCTCAACAGCAGTGTTAACAAGCAGATGAGATGCACATTCACCGGTCCCAATTGCATTGTCTGCACGCTAACCCGACAACCGCCTCTATTCCTGTCACCTCTAATCTCGTACGAGCAAAGCACTAATCAATCTCTCCCCTCCCCTGTAACCAAAGCTGCCGAATCTCTTCGCTGATCTGGCTGCTGCACCGCTGCAGCCTGCGAGGAGAGGTGGGGGTCGCTCAGTTAACTAGGGACGCCAAGGACGGCGTGCAACGTGCAGCAACAATGAGGCGCAGCGATGCACATCTCGGACTGTCTATATAACACCCAAACCTAAAATAGACAGAAAGAGATCCAAAATTAACCTCCAACAGAGTAACTATATAAAAGACCTATTTTGGGTTGCCTGAGAGGCACAATCCAAATATGGACATCATCTCTCCTGAAAACTCATTTGCAGAAAGAATTCTCTTTTATGTCTTGTTGTTGAAGAAGATGCCGAATAAATATTGAACCTTTTGCCTGTAGCGCTTATCCAAAGGATAAATAAGTCTTGTATTTTGGGTGTTATTGTTGAAAATAGCCTATCACAATGCCCTGCACCGCACCGCAATGAAGCCTACATCTCCCAAAGGTACACTTGTCGCCATGGACACACATGCTGGAGACTGGAGAGATGCATGCAAGACCACACATCATCGATCGGTCTGTGAACCTGTGATCACTTGGTGTTGGTGATCTCTCCCACAGATTCACGCACCGGGGCCTGCTGGGGTGAAAGAACCAAGACACCGTGCACACCGCCCCTTTTGGACCCTTTCCATGTGTCATGACTCATGGGCACCGTACCTTTTGGTTGCATCGCATGACATGTTCATGTGTGCTTGTACAGCTCCTCAAGATTCCCGATCATCATACCACCAGCGACGACAGCTCTTTATTAGATCAAGGGGGATTTAAAAAAAAATCGGCAGAGTGGCAAGCACTTGTGTTCTCCCCATTCTGGCCTCGCCGCCGGGCGCCGGGCCTCTATATATAGCGCCCCCGTCTCACCATATTGCTTCACACAAGCTCGAATCGATCACACGCTCTGATCGGTCACTCTTGCAGCTCAGCCTTAGCTCTAGCTAGCTAGCCACTCCTTCGTGTATAGTCATCAGCCTTCTCATCGTCACCAATGGCCACCGCCGAGGTAGCTCGATCCATCCTAGTCTTTGATTCATATCACATATATGCACGTATCGCGCGTTTGGATCTTTTGTTCCGATCGAATACCTGTGAATAATGTTTTCTATCTCATCGATCGGTCGATCGCCGCTCGTCTTTGATGAGACAGCGATGGACGATCCTATGTTAACAATGGAGGAAGCTAATTTGTACGCGCCGTGCACATGTGCAGGTCCAGACCCCGACCGTCGTGGCGACCGAGGAGGCGCCCGTGGTGGAGACCCCGGCGCCGGCCGTGGTGCCCGAGGAGGCTGCCCCGCCCCCGCCGAGGCTGAGCCGGCGGCCGTGCCCGAGGAGGCTGCCCCCGCCGAGGCCAAGGTGGAGGAGCCAGCTGCCCCGGCGGAGCCCGAGCCTGCCGCCGCTGAGCCTGAGGCCGAGCCTGCCGCCGCGGAGCCGGAGGCGGCACCTGTGGCCGTGGCGGAGGAAGAGGCGCCAAAGGAGGCGGAGCCGGCGGCCGCTGAGGAGGTGAAGGAGGAGGAGGCGGCGGCGCCCGCTGCCGAGACAGAGCCGGCAGCCGCCGAGACAGAGGCTGCTGCTGCCGAGGAGCCCGCCGCGGCCGAGCCGGCCGCCGAGGAGCCCGAGAAGGCCAGCGAGTGAGGCCGTGCGCGCGCAGGGGATCGAAGTGAGATGGCTCATCGTGCGCGCGTGGCGTACTGGCGTGGCAGTCGCGTGCGCGCGTACATGGCACGGTATTTTGCTGTTCAGTACGCTACGGTTACTGGCGTTTCTGTGTGTGTGTCGTAGCTCGGTGTGTAGCTAGCAGTGGCTGTCGCGTGGACTGTCCGGTGCGGACTGCGAGTGACATGGGCTAAATAAAGTGTGCGTCGTGGTGGTGGGGCCTGGTGTCAGTGGCGCAGTGCCCCATGCCCTGCCGTGCAGCTTGTGTGTCTTTGTGTTGTTGTTTCATGTTCTCTGTCTATCTATCTATCCACATGCATGTATGGCAGTTTGGGTATGGATATCAAGCATGTTTGCGTTCTCGTCTTCTTAGGCTATTATTACACTTTCTCTAACAACCACGATCCAAAATGCAAGACCTATTTATCTTTTGGGTAGCGCTACAGGCAAAAGGTTACATACCTATTTTTGGTCTTCTTCAACAATAAGACCTAAAAGATAATCCTTTTTTGCAAATGAGTCTTCAGGAGAGATGATACTTAGATTTAGGTTATGTCTCTCCTGACAACTAAAATATGTCTTTCATATGGATACTCTGTTAAATGTTATATATATTATGCTAAAGACAATTTTAAGTTTGGGTTTTATAATGGGCCGAGACAGCCTTACTTTCGCTGCATTGTGTGGTATGATTATGACTGTGATCTTTATATATAGATAGAGCCAGTTGTTCATCGGCAAACCTGCAAGGCTGCAAAGCTTTGTGTAAGTGCAGCAGTTCAGAACGCTAGGAGCAGCTCGGGCCTACAAACATTCCACCACGCCATATCATGGCATCGTGTCGTCATGCCGGGTCCTTGAACTCAACCGCGCATCTCTAGGATAGGACTCCCATCCGACAGAACTAGTGAGCCTGTTATATCAATGGCCTCCATCACCCGGCAGCCGCTTCGCGTTTAGTTCCTCCAGAATCCAGATTTTGGCTTATCTTTGCCGACGTTCTGGCACTGGCAGGCTCATGGCACGGCCAAATCAAAACTGTTGCACAGTTTGGCGTGTTCGAGGCCGAACGTTTTCGTAGTCAACGTTTGATTATTACCAAATACAAACGAAATACTACGAAGAATACTTGGTTTGGTACCTTTGCCGGAGCCCGAAAACAATGCGCCCACTAAACGAAATTTATCTTTGCCGACGTCTGGCACTGGCAGGCTCGGGCACGGCCTATAGCGATTTGCCATGATGGTCCATGACAGCATGTCAGTCAGTAACGTGCTTCCTCCGGCTGCGGTGCGGGACGCGCAAAACATACGGAGCGCGTGTTACAGAAGTTGCGCTTTTTGAAGCTATAAGTATTTGCAATGTAATATGAGACTTGTTACGATATGCAAGATACATGAGCATTTTGATGGCACTAAGGTTATCATTCTAGGGTTTGAATAGATATTGATTCATATTTAGGGATGAAATGACCATTAGTATTGATAGTACAATTGTCCAATATTATTTAGATATTGGTAGACGATATCAATTGAATATTGAATGACTGATGTAAATGCTTAAGCTATAAACATGAGCGAAATTTGGTTTTACCCAAATGCTTACATCTCAAATTCCATCTTATACGATGAGTACCTGTTTTGATATGTATCATATGAGATGTATAAAATCCAATTAGGATTTCATTATGATCACACAGGTGAAATCATCAAGATAGGAGATATCCTTATGTGGAAGGAACTCACCTAGTCAGTTGTACCACAATCAACTTGACTATCTCAAGTCATAGAGTGACTTGATTTGTACACATATGTATGTTGCAATTTGTGTTTTGATTTAGAATACAAAGTCCATTTGGGATTTAAAATCCGAATATATCAAAACTCATTTTAATCTGCCAATTATTGATATAGGAACATAATTTTCACACATACCAATGGGTATGTTATGCTAGGTCTCTACATGAAACCATGTGCTATAAGCTCTCACTATTTCACCACCTTATGGATTTGAAAAATCCATAATGCTTCCATAGGGAACACATTGTGAGGAGAAGTCTTTATAAAGGCAATGACTTCTCACTATTGAGCGAAAGCAATTCTCCTTAATTGCCACATTTAGTTGACCCAATATGAGTGTTTGAACACTCTGCCTAGAACTTTTGGTCTGGATCCAAATAAAGTGCATGGCAACTTTGAGAAGTATGTCGACAATTTGTAGCTTTTATATATGATTGATTCAATGGAACCAATTAAGCATGTGGAAATGTTTATCCTTTAAACTTTATGTCATTTTCTATAATAATAGAGTTAGGGCAATTCAATGATCCAGCGTCACAATTTGTGCACAAATTGTGCTGGGCTTTTGGATGTTAAACATCCTTAGGCACAAGAGGTGTCCAAGTGCAATGCACCAGCGTTCAGTTCAACTGGACACGCATACTTATGATTGGTTTCAGATCCCAAAAATGGCTGTGATTCAGGATTCCAGAACACAACCAAGATCAGAATTTCAGATGCCCAGCGCCGGGCAGGGCAGCCTTGGTCCATCCATTCCTCAGAAAACATCTGCCATCGTTAAAAACATCTGCCATGGTTCACATGAGCTTCAGTCCCAAGCAAAACACGTCTGAGAGTCAACTGAAATTTCGGCTGTGGTTCACATGAGCTTCAGTCCCAAGCAAAACACGTCTGAGAGCCAGCTGAAAACTGGCAGATTACTGCTACAAGAGAGCTGACCAAAGTATGCCGGTTCCACAAAATCAAAATTAGACAAGAAAAATCAATGACATGCTTTTGGTTCGGTAACGGATCAACTAGAATAGCCCACCTGCCGTTCACTGGTAATCGGAGTGTCAGCACTGAGCACAATGCAGATACATGCACATGTTATTACATTATGGCCACCGGTTGGACTACACAGCGTCACCGCTCTTTAGAAAACAAAGGAACCTGCTTTCTATCAATTCCTTCTGCATTAGATAGATTAAATAAAAGTCTCGGAGCACCAACTCACGATACATACAGATGAAAAAGAAAGACAGCCTATTACCTCCTCAAGCTCTAGGAACAGATTTCAATGAGACAGTAGGGTGTCACTAGCCTACCATATGTACAGAATATACTGGTTCAGAATCCATAACAGCAGCAGCAACTACCATGTACCGAAGCTGCAGCTCACATGCTCTTGTGTGATCTTCTGCAGCTGGTTTTCCATCATTTTCAAGGATGTATAAGGAGGGAGGCAGAGCCGGTAGAAGCAGGTCTGCGATGATGGGAGCCGGTCAGGTGAATCGGATGTCTTGTATATGTAAAGTTTGGAGCTCAGCCCGCAAAAGCCGTCTGATGGTAAATACTTCACTGAAGTCCAGAAGAAGAGGAGCTGCCTCTGTCTCTCAATTGACATGCGCTCAACAGCCTGCAGTGTCAACATATAAGTATTCAACCGTGCACAAAACTGATTGCCAATACATAATGGAGCTTCTATATAAGAAAGATACAGATTTCAGCAGGGTTTCTAAACTGATACGCATGCAAGGTAACAAGGGACATCTTTTGTTTGATAACCATGTTTCAAACAATACGAAAGCAGCACAATATATTGTCACTTTTACCACTACACGTCACAGTTCAATATATAAACAATGGTCCAAATCAGGTAACAGCACCAGGTCCTGGCTCCTGTTGATGGAAGCTCCAACCAAGATGAATCCACAATAACTTGAGAAAGTTGTTTCGTCTTTCTCATCTCACTTATAGAAGAATCAACAAGGATTGTATGAGGTAACAAAACTAAAGTTACAAAATGAATTAAGAACAGTGATTGTTTATTTGCTCTAGACTTTCAGAACGCCAGAAAGATGGGACAATCATGTACTATTGATGCTAAAACATACAAAGCCATGGCCTAATGGTAGAGTGCAAGATTCTAATGGTTAAGATCTTGGGTTAAAAAGTACCCACTGTCCCACTCTAGCACTCTCCTTAATATTAGAGACACCTTATTGTCCCTCCTGTTTACTCATGCATTAAAACAAAATTAAGAAAAACAGCCCACATAGCAATCAGTTTAAAGATTTTCTAAAGGATCTCATCACAATGATAGTGGGTTTGGCCAACTGGCACATCTCATCATGAGATCAACTAAACATGACACACTAAAGTTCAACCTCATAGAAATCCGATCAGATAAAACTGTCATTAAAAGAATCAATACACACAAACAAGACACTGTTTCGCTTCCTTTACACAAGGTTTTTGGCTCCATTCACACGCTGCAAGTTCACTATATTTTAAGGTTGTGATAACCAAGACAACAAAAAAATAAGGCCACATGAAACATACACCAAGACATAATGGCTGTAACATGTGTTGGAAGAGACAACTATATATACATAACTAAATTCATGAACTGCTGAGGACACGCTAGAGGTGAAATAAAAGGCCAACCTGGAAGAGCATAGTGAACAAAATACCATACTCTGAAGCACATAATTCTCTACAGCCAGCATGTATTAAATAAATCATAAATATGTCTCATAAGTGAATGATGCTATTAACGCATACATTTTTTATATTAGGATTATGACCACAACTCTGGTACATGCACCACATGCACAGACCTAATCGATCTGCGGAAATGATTGGCGTTTTTCAGCACAATCTAACAGAGTTTAGTGAGAAATGGTATGTTGCCATGAAAAATTGAGCACACATGAAGAAAAAATGGTCAAAATGTATAGCTGTACAGCAAACATATAATTCATGATTGAATACATTTACACAAATAATACAGCGCACCTTCCAGAACAAGGTAATCTGACGATCCTTTTCTTTGTAGCCATTATATTGAGTATGTGATTTCCAATCTTGCAGATTTATTGCATTGTTGTTTCCCCCTAACAGTCGATCCAAGTCTTCTAGATCTAAACACTCAAAAAACTCTGCCCGGCGTTTTGGATTAACTAGTATGTCAGCAAA